ATTAGAAGAAATTCTATGATTCAAAAGCTCCTTTGATTGTTAAAAAGTGCTTTTAGACACAAACTCACACTTGCTGGTGCACTATATCTAATACAATACAAGTATGTTCCATATACAATGGTAGGTCCCATTCTAAGAGAGTGATATCAAATGTGTTAATTTTGTGTGCACAAATAGAATTATTAATAATTAATTGTTTTGAAGCAAGCTAACGAGTGTTACTGTTCCCTCTGCAGCAAATTGAAAGACGCAAATCCTGCAGCAGGAAGAATGCTTTGCAAATTTGGCTTACCTCTTTGTTGTGATATGGGCTTTTCCGTCTGAATTCTATCTTTTACTCTGTTTTATCAGTAGTTTAAGTTTTTAGGGCATGTTATGATATTTTGTATTGTGTAATTCTTTTGCTGTTTGAACTCTTAGAAAGTCAAGGGCTAAGAGACATTATATAAACCATCTTTTGGGTACTAGGATTTGTTATCCTTCGTACTTTCAATCAATAAACTTTGAGGTTTTTCTCATTCTTAGTGAATTACAAATTACTTGTTTTATAATTAGAAAAACTATTGAAAAAAAGTTTGAAAACTTTGAGTTTTAATCAAAAGAACAAAAAACTGTTGTAAGTAAATAGTACCAGGAGTGACTTTTTAGAGTAAGAATGTCATTTTCGTTAAAAGTGAACAATACCAGAAGTGTTTCATTAAAACTTTCTTATAATTAAGGTTATCGTTTGATATCTTTTCTTTATCATGCTAGGTCAATTATCCTTACCAAAATACTGCTCCAACTTTCTTTTTCTTTCCTTTTGCATTGTGAAATGATTTTTACATCTCCTTTTTCTCCAGCATTTTGATCATATAAAATAAGAGAATTGATAGACAAAAATAAAAATGATGATGATGTGCAGAAGAAGAAAAATGATTTATGTCATTTTTTATTTGACTTATTAACAGTTTCATGTAAAAAAAAAAAAAAATACTAATTCAGGTTCGTAAGTTATGGTAGGAAGATATCATATAATACCACTTTTCCCTGTTCCATATTTATTATAACTTTCCTGACTCTTTTTGTCATCTCCATTTTTTTTTTCAGCTACCTCTTCGGTTTCATAATTTAGTGGCTCGCTTGATCATAAAGATCACGAACTAAGATCATATGGTAAGATAAATTCTACAGATCTTGTAATATAGTATAATCAAGAAAATACAAATCCAAACACAACAATATAGATATCCAGAATATGTAAAAATCAAAAACTAAAAGAAAAAAAAAAAAAAAAAAAAAAAAAAAAAGCATCCACACAAAATCTCTGACATAATAACATAATTAATAAGGCACCATACAACAGAACTAATAGATCATGATAGTAGTCGTGTAGTAATCAAGGAGAACCATGGCGGTTATATACGATTATCTCCAGTGGTTTAATTTGATGGGGGTGGGGAGAGAAATGGAATGCTTGGAATTGTTGATGGAATAGTTGGGATTGAAGGGATTGTTGTGGGAATTGAAGGCAGTGGATTGGCTGGCAATGGCGGTAGAGTTGTGGGAAGAGTAGGCAATGGTGATTTTGGCAAAGATGGAATTTGAGAGCTTGGCATTGGAGGAGGAAGAGTTGGAAGAGTAGGCAATTGGGTAGAAGGCAATGGTGGCAATGTGGCCTTAGGTAGAGTTGGGACAGTTGGAAGTGTAGGCAATGGGGTTGAGGGCAGGGGTGGTGGCAAGGTTGCCTTGGGCTGTGTTGGCAATGAAGGCAACGGAGGCAATGTGGTTTTTGGCAGAGTTGGCATTGAAGGCAATGGCGGCATTGTGGACTTCGGGAGAGATGGGATTGTAGGGACGATGAATGCTGGAGGTGGAGCTGCTGGCGTGTCCAAAAGGTGGCGAGCTGCTTGGCTCATATGGACGCTTGAAAGTGATAGCACCCCCACTGAAAACAAAAGGAAGAAAATCTTGGGGAAAGCCATGGTTGAACTTGTGATGAAAGTAAAAGCTTTGAGGAGTTGAAAGGCAAATGTCTTAAAATGTTCTTTGTTGTTGCGAAGAGTACGAAAGGATCTTTGGGTTTTTATACAAGAATATGGGGGAGACCATGTAAAGTCGCCAGCACATATTATACGCGAGTTTGATGGGTTGTTGTTGGAGGAAGTGGGAAAAATAAATGGTTAGTTCACCTCCTAAAATTGGTCCCAAATTCAAAACCAAACCGACGCAAAAGAACTTCAACTCATGCACGCATGCCAGTAGTCATCTGAGTCATCAAATGATAGGTTATGAACTTACCAAATCAAGAGCAAGCAGAAAAAATTGGTCATTCTCATTCGGCTTACATCATAGCTTTTGTTAATATTAGTGGATGCTGGCCATGTTGGAATATAATCCCCAATTTGGGAAGTTGGTGACTCCCTTTGAAAATTTAGTCAGTGAACAAGTAGGTAGGGCTGTTATTTACCTAGGTTTTGTACTTTTCTTTAACTCCTTTGGTCTTTCAATTTTTTTGGCCATAGATAATTTATTTTTTATTTATTAAAAACGATATTCTAGACTCATTTACCTTAATCACTAAGACAATTCACCATTTTCTTGGCCTAGATCAGTTAGCTTGGTTGTATAATTGCAAGTTTTTCTTTCTTCTTTTTTCAGTTTTTTTTTTTTTTTTTTTTTTTTTTTTTTTTTTTAAGAAGAAGAAATAACGATTCATTAACAAAAACGATTATAATAGTACATCAAATACCTCAACGAAACACAAATTCTAACATACCTGTAAAAACAACAACTCTAAAGGATTAGAGTAAAATGTACAAAATCCGCACAAAAACTAGAAAACTGATAACACTCGGAGCCCGCCCCACGTAGCTCAGACAACCAAAAACCTTCAATGAATTCATAATCCTAAATCAGGAGATCGTATAATAACAACACAAGTCTTTTCCAAAGGAAAACCCTTTATTAAACATGGGGCTAATAATTAATGTTGCAAATCTTTATTACTATACGACCTTAAACAATCAAACACCCCAACCCCACCCCCACCACCCCAAAAACCACCCCACCCCAACCACCACGTTAGTAGAAGGCTATCTCCAGTTCAAAGGTGGGAGATCCCAAATTTTAGTCCGTATTTTTAACTATTCATCTATATGTATGAGGTTAGACAATTATTTCCTCCAACGGTAATAGACCTCCAATTTTCACCCTCCAACTTTATAATTTGTTAAACTTTTGTATTTCGTTGATTTTTTATTTTTTATTTTTGGCTAATAGTTTTGAAATTATTTTTGTATAATCTATTTTGTTTTATTTTTACAAACATTTTGATGTACAAAATTCAAATTCTGAAGAAAAAAAATTGTGATGGTGAACACAAACAATTCATTGACATTACATAAAATTAATAACATATATTACATGAATAACAAAAAATTACACAAGAATACTTAAAGCATGTTGCACGAATAAAATAACTATAAACGATAATGAAAGACACTAATCACTTTTTGAGATCTATGGACTAGATGATAGGATTCGGTGTCCAAATCCCGGTACGGGTTTTGTGCAATTCTTGGAGTATATTGGAGTGGATCCTTCTCCATAATTTTCTCGTCTTTTTCTTCTTTAAACAATTGCATTCTTGCTCTTCTATCGTCCCTTATATTTGCTCCTTGTTGAACTAATTGACACAAGTTCACCAGAGTATTGGATATAAGAAGACTCATCATTTCCACCATTTTTCCTTGCTTCCTTATGTTTATCGCATCCATCCGCCCGTGGAGTGGCGTTACATCCGGCTTGACCTCTTCCCTAAAATCCACACCATCTGTGGAACCATGACAAGACGTTATTATACTCGTTGCTCCCAAAGCTCGACCAACAGAACCATCTTCGGTGATCGATATCCAAGCTAAGCATAAGGCGATATCTTCAGTAGGAAGCCAATTGGTGTTTCTATTGCAATTTGTCTACCATATGAGCTAAATTTGATAGGAAAATGGAATGATTGAAGAAATTTGGTAGTGAGATATGAGAAAATTGAATTTTTTATGGATTAGTGAACAAATGCATGGGTATTTAGAGTTTTGGAGGAGTTCTGGTGTTGGATCTAACTTGGATTAATTAATAGTATTATTTGACCATTGATTTAAATTTGAGTTGTTAGATTTTGTTTTACCATTAAAATTGATTAAATTAGATTTGAACTGTTGGATATAAAAAAAATAACTGTTGGAAAAAATTTAAAACTAAACGTTGGATTGCCGCGGTCATGAAATCTGGGCCACACATTAAACAGCCGCTGGAAATTGATTTCATTGGGCGCGTGACACTGGATAAAAATCTAGAAAGGCGGTCAGCCGTTTGATGCCAACTGCCCTTTAATCTGGGCTATAGAACTTGCGCCTTCCGTGTGCTCGTTTGCATGGAATTCGTCCCCTGGCCCTCTTGCAATTATTTCTGTCCGGGGTGGACGCCAATCCCAAATTCCCACCCCCAAATCCTACATCCCAAAATTCCCACCTCAAAATACATGCCCTTGGAGAGATTTTGGGCCCAAATTTTGGGAGTTTTCGGTTTCGCACCCCTCCCTTGGATATAGCCAGTATTAATATGCCGTTGTATTTAAAAGAATAAAAAGGTATTTTCTCAAATTGTGTGTACCATTAAGATTTTAGAATTGAGATAGCGGTACACTACTAATCATACTGATATTGTCTTAATTTAACCACTTACACAACTCGACAAGTGTTGTGTCTTATCACAAAAGACCTCAATGTTATTAGTAGTGGTACCATTCATTTGTAAGTAGTAATATTTATTGTCATGCTTCCGATGTGGGCGTGTGAAAGATGGTATAATAACAATACAAGTCTTTGCAAGTGGTGGATTGTTTTGGTGATTAGGGTCTTTCTTTCAACTCATTGTGTCCCGGGTTCAAACCCTTCTCCCTCCCCTTTAATTTGTATAGATTAGTGGAAAATATCGATTGTAATAGGAAAAAAAAAACATGATAAGTAAAGCTATAAATAATTAATTAATAAAAATTAATGCAGCAACAAAATATCGATACAACATGTAAAACCTAATTAACAAAGAAAAGAAGGCATGAAAGATAACAATCCTCACAAGCACTCAACACAAGTATATTGAATACATAAATAATAAGCCAGAATCTAACATAAGAACCATATAACATGTTCCAACAAGCAAGAATCAAACACGAGAACCATGTCATGTTGCAGGACTTCTGAAGACACTCCAGCTAGCATATCCAAGAAAATAGACAGCTTGTAGTAAGCAGTAAGCACAAAGATATCCATTGGAGATATATGAACTCTTGAGTGGCTGATTTAATTTGACGGGGGTGGGGAGAGGAATGGGATGGCTGGAATTGTTGATGGAATGGTGGGAAATGAAGGGATTGTTGTTGGGAATTTGGGAAGTGGGTTGGCTGGCAGTGGAGGTAGAGTTGTGGGCATAGTAGGCAATGCTGGTTTTGGCAAAGATGGGGTTTGGGAGGTTGGGAATGGAGTTGGCAGTTGAGTGGAAGGCAATGGTGGCAAAGTGGCCTTTGGAAGAGTTGGGACAGTTGGTAGAGTAGGCAACGGGGTTGAGGGCAGGGGTGGCAAGGTGGCTTTAGGCATTGTTGGTAGTGAGGGCAGTGGAGGCAATGTAGTTTTGGGCAGAGATGGAATTGTAGGCACCGCCAATGCTGGGGGAGAAGCCGCTGCTGGTGTGTCCAAAAGGTGGCGAGCAGCTTGGCTCATGTGGATGCTTGAGAGTGACAGCACCGCCACCAAAGACAAAGTGAAGAAAAGTTTGGGAGTAGCCATGGTTGAGTTTGAGGAGCTGCTATTGGCAAATGTCTTCAATTTGAATTGTTGTTTTTCTGTTGTGAAGAATAGAAAGTCTCTATTGGGTTTTTATAGAGAAAATGTGTGAAGAGTCTGAAGACTTGGACAGCGTCAATACAAGTTCGATGAGTTGTGGTTGGAGGAAGTGGGAAAAAGCAACAGTTAGTTCACCTCCCTAAAACTAAAAAATAAAAGAAAAAATCCTTAATTAATCGGTTCCAAATTCTGACCTAAGTAATTGGTCTATGTAAATTAGAGATATATAATATATTAAATTTTCGTCAATTCACCATTAGGCATTGAAAAGCAACACATTTGATGACTAAAAAATGTCCGTTTGATGAATTGAGGTGCATCCCATAGGATCTAATCACCATTTTGTGGACTGAAAAACAATGCATGTTGGTTGCAGATGTGCAGTTAGAGAGAGCTTGACGCATAAAAATATATACTTATATTGGGTACGTATCAATAAATATTGAGACCCTTTCAATAAGGATTTCATCTCTGGCTAGTTTTTTGTTTTCATGTTTTAATTAGAAAAGGAAGGAATATGCATGAGATAAATGAGAGACGGGCATAATAACCGTGAACTAGAAAAGATGATGTTGCCAAGTTTTTAAGTATGAGTAATGGTATTCATACCATGTTTTTGTACCACATTTTTATACTATCTTAGGTAGTATTTGATGTAGACAACCATATCATTTGAGTTAATGAGATTTTTTAAATTTAGTTCATTATTTAATAAACTAATAATTAAGAAAAACTAGTTAATTAAATGATCATTGTAGTATACAAGGAGTCTTTCTCCTTCCTTTCCTTGGGTTTTGCAAATTTTTCAAATAATGTGGCTGTTCACATCAAATGCCACCGAAGGTGGTCTAAAAATGTGGTATAAATAGCATTACTCTTTAAGTATTGGTATTTTCTTTGGGTGTTGAATTATAAAAGACGATTGTGACAACCTGTCTCAAATTTTATTATGTTATAAATTTTAAATGTGAATTTACGAGAATGCCCTAGAGGCGAAGGTTTTGACTTTCATTGACCCACGTGTTGTGAGATGTACTCAATATTCTTTTAGCGTATTCCTGAAGTATTTGACGATATGAACGAGTAAGCGCAAGCAGAAGTGAATTTGGATTTACGAACCGAAAGTATTTTGAAGAAATAACTATTCTATTTATATTATATTAATGTATGCTAAATTAGGAGGACATGTGTGTGTGTGGGTGTGTATGTGACGGAAAGGGAGAAGAAAAAGAAAAAGGAATGTGGGAGAAGAAGAAAGGAGGAGAAGGGAAGGGCTGCTGCCCAATCAGAAAGAGAAGAGAAGTGAAGGACCAACCAGAGAGGAAAGCAAGGAGGAGAAAGGGGGAGAAAAGAAAAAAGGGGAAATCGGGTTTCCCTCAACCCGTGACCCGACCCAGTGAATTCTTCCATGTCCAGCCACTTTGGACGACAAGGTTAGTGTCAAAATGACCCTTACCTCGAGGCCAACCGATCCCTCTTCCATTTTCATGTGAAAATTGGGTGGAAATTGGTGAATTTTGGGAAAAACCGTGCAAAAGGGGGTGCACAGGTTGGGTTTCATTCCACCATGATTTGAAGGTACCTCCTCCAATTACCACCACAAATAGACTCCCCTCAACCTCAAGAACAAAGCCCAAACACTTGTGGAGGCGTCGGAGTGAGCATGGAGGTCGAATCGAAGCACACCCTCTTTAGGGTTTCCGACGGATTTATGTAAAATTGAAGCTCTTACCGGCCAAATTGGCTTTGGTCATAGGTATGAAAGTTACTCTACTCATTGAGATCTTTATTCCTGTAAATTTTGGTAATTTTTGAAAATAATTGGATTTTCTGGCGAGTCGGGGTGGCCGACCGTCACCCGCAGCGGCACGTGCGGCGGCACGTGGCCAGGGGACCGTTGATGCTACTTTTAGGCTAAATTAGATGTCTTGAGTTCAGTTTTATTATTCGTATAACATAGATTGATCGTTTGGACCTAAATTTATTACGATATGTTACTTAATAAAATGTGAATCGACGATCTGACCGTTGGATCGTCACCAAACTTAGAGACATTATAATACGTAGGGTAAAGTACAAAAAACTACCTAACTATTGAGGTCACGACAGTTTCATACCTCATCTTTTAAAATTGACAATGTCATACTCCATCTTACGAATTTTTTACAATGTCATACCTCCGTCAATTTTTCTATTAAGTGTTGACATGGCTTGATTCGGGACCTATTTTCTATTAAAATATTATTAAAAACTAAAAAAAGATTATTTAATATTTTTTAAACATTAAAATAATAATAAAAAGTAGAAAAAAAAACCCTCATTTCGTCCCTCCCCTCCCCCTCCTCCCTCCTCTTTCCTCTCCCTATCTTCATCTTCTTCCCCCACCTGCAAATCCCAACAAACCAAAAAAAAAAAAAAAAAAAAAAAATCCAATTTGTCTTTCCCCACACCCACACCCACACTCTTCTCCCTCCTGCAACCCAGAAAAAAAAAAAAAAAAAAAAAAAACCTAGATTCTGTCGGTGGGAAGATGGGTGCAGAGAGAAGGTGGAGGATGGGTGCGGAAGAGGATGTGGAGAATGGATGAGAGTGGTGGATTTGGGGTTTGATGGGTTCTCAAAATTTTTTTTTTTTTTCCTCTTCTTCTTTCTCCTTCTCCTTCTTCTTCTTCCGCAGGGGAGTTGATGGTTTTCAAAAAAAAGAAATTTTGTTTTTCCTTCCTCCTTTGTTTCCTCTTCTTCTTCTTCTTCTTCCTCCTTCTCCTTCTCATTCTCCTTCTTCTTCTTCCGCAACGGGGTGTTGATGGGTTTTCAAATTTTTTTTTTTTTCTTCCTCTTCTTCTTCTTCCTCCTTCTCCTTCTCCCTTCTTCTTCTTCCACCCCGACGGGTTAGGGGGGGGGGAATTATTTATTTATTTTTCCTCTTCTTCTTCATCTTCTTCCTCCTCCTTCTCCTTCTTGTTCTTTCGCAAGGGGGGTCGTTGGGTTTTCAAAATTTTTATTTTTTATTTTTTATTTTTTTGGGTTTGCAGGTTGGGGGAAGAAAATGAAGATGGGGAGAAGAGAGAGGAGGGGGAGGGGGAGGGAAGGGACGAACTGATGGTTTTATTTTCATTTTTATTTTTTACTTTTTATTATTATTTTAATATTTAAATAATATTAAATAAATTTTTTTTAGTTTTTAATAATATTTTAATGATTTTTTAATAGAAAGGGGACCCCGAATCAAGCCACGTCAGCATTTAACTGAAAAGTAAACGGCCAAGTAAGGGAAGGTATAACATTGGACCAAATTCTAAAGATGAGGTATGACATTGTCAATTTTAAAATATGAGGTATGAAAGTGTCATGACACCAATAGTTGAGGTAGTTTTTTGTACTTTACCCTAATACATAATATTTAAGGATCATAGGAATGTACGGATCGGGAATCCAACGTATGGATCTTCCCGAAGTGGATTTGTAAGTTCGTAAAATAAATGTTAACCACCACTTGGTTTTGGGCAATTGGTGGAGATATGACTGTTGGATCGTAATGAAATTTTAGTATGTTATTCAAGAAGCATAATGTGGATCTTGGGAGATTGCGGATTGGAAATCTGATGTGCAAATCTTCTGGATCGAGTTATACAGGGTTGTAAACCCTACCGTCGATCTTTGATCAACGGTTGACTTGTGGTCAATGGGTCTCAAAATATTTTAGAATGTCCTTGAGGATGTGCTTTATGTGAATTACGTATTCTATTGATAAGAGTTTTGAGATGTGATTCGATAATTGTTCTAGGCGCCAATCGTTCGAGACGCCTCGATGTGCATGCTTTAGAATCATAGCGTGGACTCCAGGTGAGTGCGTCTTTCCCTTTTTATCATATGTATATAATTGATAGTTCAACAAACACTTCTAAATTGATTTATGCATGTTACCTACAAATAATTACTTTGAACTACGATTGGCTTGATCCCTGTTTAGGGTGCATAGGCACTATAACGAGACGTTAGATGCAACCATATAATAAATGAGACTAAATAATTGGGACAATAGCCTTGTTTGGGGAATTGAGCAATGTGAGGGACATTGGTGGAAAATGTGAGATTTAACCTTATGATTTGGTGGTTAAATGTTGTTCATAAATCAATGTGTGAAGAATCAAGAAATTGAAGTAAGGAAACGTAAGCAATGATAATTAATTAAACTAATGTTTAGTTGGGCTTATAACCGATAATTATTCCCGAAAATAAATAGTTTGGAAGTGGGGCATTATAGATTATGCATTTCACACCATGTTATATATATATTTGCAAACACTATTTTATGGTTGTGTTTTAGATTGCATCATGGCATATCCATATTATTGTGAATGCTTTGAATTGCAAAGGTGAACGCAAGACGCTCAGGTAAGTACCAAGTGAGTTATTGATTGATTAAATGAATTGATGATTATGTGAGATGTGATGAGAGCTCATAACCCGCACCCCGGTGTTAGTGCTCCCGCCCGTGGCCAGGGTATAGTCTTTCACGTGATGTTCACCTCCTGCACCTTACGCTCACCTTGGATTTAAGGTAGGTGCACAGTCCTGTCGTACAGACCACTATAGGTGGTTCCGACTCGTAGGTGACCCGCGATTATTCACACAGTCTTCACGTGATCGTAGCACTTAAGCGTATTTATTTACACCCAGTCTTGTTGTACAGACCACTAGAAGTGGTTCCGACTCGTGTGCAGGCATGTTTGATGAGCTATGAATAAGTCGTACAGGTCACTATAGGTGACTCTGACTTATATGCTAGCATTGATTGATGAGATATTGATTAAGTCGTATAGGTCACTATAGGTGACTCTGACTTATATGCTAGCATTGATTGATGAGATATCTGATGAGATATTGATTAAGTCATACAGGTCACTATAGGTGACTCCGACTTATGTGCTAACATTGATTGATGAGATATGGATAAGTCGTACAGGTCATGTAAGGTGACTCCGGCTAGTATGT